ATTCTCAAATTATAATTTATTTATCATTAAATAAAATAATATTATAAAATAATATCATTTTATATTAATAACAGATTATTTAATTTAGGTTTAGAGGATAAATAAATATTTTATAATTGGAGACAATAATAAATTTAATAGATAATTTAAAAAAATTATTTGTAATAATTTTCTTATATATTATAATCATAGAACTAATGACTTAATGAATTAAAAAATGTTTCTAACATAAAAAAATGTGAAATATTATGTATGCACTTAGAATTTTTTTATTAAAAAAATGTATTATAATTAAATAATATCAAAATAAATATATTTATATCAAAATATAAAAAAAATTATATTAATTATTTTAATTTTTATTAATTATTAATATAGATATAAATATAGATATAGATATAGATATAGATATAGATATATATAGATATAGATATAGATATAGATATAGATATAGATATAGATATAGATATAGATATAGATATAGATATAGATATAGATATAGATATAGATATAGATATAGATATAGATATATTTATTAAATTAAATAAAAAAATTAATCAAACTTAAATATATAATAGATAACTATAATTAATATATATTAGTGATGAATTAAATGTATCTTTTAATACTAAAATCCATTATTCATAAAATATATATATTTATTAATTTTTTTATATACTTCAATTTATTTTTTATTTTATATTAATAATATCTTTTTATTAAATAAAATATTTAAATTAATATGTTTTTTATCTCATAATTATAAAATATTTAGTTTTTTTGTTTTTAATATTTATATGTATTTACATATATAATAATTTATAAAAAATAAATTATAAAAATAATTATAAATACGATTATAAAGCTATAATAAAATAATTTTCAAATAAATTAAAAATAATTTTTGTTTTAGATATATAATTAAAAATAAAAAACTATTTTTATTTACAAATAAAAAATTAAATTTCTTATTAAAAAAGCAAAAATAAAAATGGGAAAGAAAAAAAATATATAAAGAAGAAAGAATAACAGAATCAATCAAAAACATGAAAAATAAATTTATCCAAAATGCACTTCAGATTAATTAATAAACGAAGCCTTAAATGTAAACTCTCTTCTATAAATTTCCGACCAAAGCATAAAGCAAAACTAAGAAAAAGAACTTTATGCTATTAGCCTTTTGTGGTTTTATGATTGGTAAAATTACGTAGGATATAATGAGCTATTATAAGGCGAAAATCCTCAAAGCTCACGGGATTTTAACAAAAGGAGACCAAGAAAAATGAATAATTAATTATTTAAAGACAAAAACCAGTTATAACAATATCATATCATTCCTAATGAAATGTAAGAGAGTAAATATAATAATATTTTTTTGAAAGACAATTTTAGTATAAATGATGTAAAATTAGTTGATTTTTAGACATGGATATTTTTTAAGGAATAATATAAAGATTCAATAGAAATCCCTTGTTAGGTTTTAAAAATAAAAAATGAATATATACATGCAGCGGAATTCGAAAAACCATATATAGGATTTTTAGATTAAGAAGTTTTCGAAAAAATAAAAGATAATTAAAATTAGGAAGAAAATATTTATAATTTTAAAAGGCTTTAAATCCCTAATTGTTTTGACTGGAAACTAATAGTCGATTATATAAAAAAGCTTTATTCTTTTTAGAAAAATATTAGTTTAGATAGTATTTAAATTCGCGTGTGGAAAATCGAATAGGCTATTCCATTAAATTCAGTTATTAAAATGTTAAATAAAAATATTTAAGATGAGAAATTTAATGAAACTCCAGGATATCTTTACAGAGGTGTTAATGACGAAAACTGTTATAGATATATGAAAAAACATTATAAATATTTAGTTGAGGTTTAAAATTTGAATAAGGATAAGTGGATTCTGGAAGAAAATACGAATTTCAAATTTTCTATGAAAAAAGGCTAGAAGGTGACTTTTATTTGTGAATTTTGTGAAGAATAAACTATTTTAATAGAAGAATGTTAATGTAAATAAGTAAATATATTTTTATTTTTTTAATATAAAGATTTTTTTTTTTTAATATTATTAAAAAAGTATTTTTATTGTTCAAACGAATGTAAATATAGAGATAAACCTTTTCATTCGAAACTTTGCGCAAATGCCTATTTTAGTGAAAGTGATGAAGAATATGATGATAAAAAAATTGAAAAAAACACTAAAAAAAAAGGACTTGAGAATTTGGAAAATACATGTTATTTAAACTCTGCTTTATAGTGTATATTGTCAACTGATGAAATAAACAAATTTTATTCATAAAATGAATATAAAGAACATTTAAAAAAAAGTGAATAAAATACATTGTTAACTAATAAATTCGCTAAAATGATAAAACAGTATAATTAAATTGATAATTAAAAAAAAGTGAATATGTGGCCATTAAAAATATAAATAGGATAAGAAATAAGCTAATTTAATAATTTTAATTAACATGATTCTTCTGAATTATTTATGTATTTATTAGATGCTTTAAATGAATAATTAAATTCTTTAAATGAAAAATAATATTTGGATATTAATTCGCCAATTAAATAATTGAATTAAAACTAATAAACAAATAATTTAAATAATTTAAATGAATAGTTAAAAAATACGAAAAATGATGAAAAAAATGATTAAAATTATGAACATTTAAATCATTAATTTTAATAAATTTTATCTTTTAAAAATGATGAGGAGAAATAGGCTTTTGATTATTTTGATAGTTTAACTAAAAACTAATATTCCTCACTTATTGTTAATTCTTTTCTTGGTTTATATAAATCTGTTTTGAATTGTTCATAGTGTTATAATTTCTTGATTAATTTTGAGCCTTTTTTATTGCTTACTGTACCTATTAAATAAGACTTTAAGTCAGTTAATAGTTATTTTATACCTTTAAATAACAAGAATAAATGCTCTTTTAAAGTTAGTTTTGATAAAAATACTACTTTTTAAAATATTATGAAATAAAATAATATACCATAAAATCGAGTGGTAATTATTGGAATATAAGATGATGAAATAAAAGAAATTTCAACTAATTATGAGACTAAAGTAGATGATTTTTCATATAAAAACTTCGCTTTTTATGAAATTAATAGGGATATTTAATCAATATCGAATAATGAGAGATTTATGGCAATCGAGTTTTTAAATAAAAATGAAGAAAAAATCGATATTCCTCGTATTTTGTGTTTTTTGGAAGATGAAATTTGCGGAAATATAATTGGAGATATTTGCGAATAATATATGGATGAAAATACATAAGAATATATTTAAAATATATTAGAAAAAAATGAAGAATTTGATGAAAAAAAGAGCTTTTTTAAAATTTTTTTAAAAGAAAAGAAAAATAAAAATAAAGAAAATTAAAAAAGCCATAAAAAAAAAAATAATTAATAATAATTAGTTATGAGTTTTTATGAAAATATAAATGAATATTTAAAAAATTAGCAAAATCTTTTAACTATTTAAATTCATGTTTTTAAAAATGATATTTTATTAAAACTAGAATAATCTAAAAATTGTTTTTTTGATTTTTAAACTAATATTAATTTAATACATATTGAAGATTGTATAAAAGCTTATTAAGAACCTGAAATTTTGGAAGGAGATAATATGTGGTTTTGTAGTGTTTGTTAAAGTAAATAATTAAGTTACAAGTGTTTGAATATGTATTATGCGCCTAAATATATTGCTATATAAATTAAAAGATTTAAGGTTAATAAAAAAGGAGAAAATATTAAAAATAATAGCAAGGTTTTGTATTAAAATATACTTTCTTTGGATGGAATTTCTTATTAAGTTTCTCCATTTATTTAAAGATAGGATATTAATAAAAAATATTAACTTTATGGTGTTGTATTGCATTCTGGAAGTTTAGAATCGGGGCATTATACTGCTTATGTGAAAGAAGAATAAAATTGGAAATATTTAGATGATGAAAAGTGTGAATTAGCTAAAGAAGAGCAAGTCCTTAACAATTAAAATGCTTATATGCTATTTTATTAATTATAAGTTTGATTTATTTGTCATATGTATACTTTTATTTTTAATTTATTAGATTAATCATTTATTTTCTATATCTTTTTAATATAATTTTTAAATTATTTATTAATAATTTAAATTTATAAATTTAAATTACTAAGCAAATAATAATTATAAAAATAAAATATTTATTAAATATATAATTAGACTTAAATACATAAAAAATATAAATATAAATATATATATATATATATATATATATATATATATATATATATATATATATATATATATATATATATTAAACATTAATTATTATGTATTATTTAAACGTAATATATAAAATAATGTTTAATGCATATATATATATATAAATTTTTTAATATTATTAGTTATTTTTAATAATTTAACGTTGAATATATAAAATTTTAATATTTTTTTTATTTTTATTATCAATTTTTATAAAATGACTAAAAAAATTTAGAAACTAATGAAATTCAGTATATTAGAATTCGCCTAGTTTTTAAAAATTAATGAATTTGATAATTATTTTAAGATTAATAATGAATAATTATAAAAATTAATAATCAAGTATGAGACATCTTTAAAATATGCCATTTTATTTGATAAAGTAAAAAAAATATTCATATTTTATGTATTAAACAAAAAATTAAAAATACCGAAAAAAATAGTTGAATTAATAATAAGAATACTTTTATTAATTATTTTTTTTAAAATTTCTTTAATACTTAAAATATGATATTAAAGACATATAAAAATTAAGTTATTTAAAATAGCTCATATGTAAGATATAATTAGATGATTATATTAAAACCACTTTATAAATACAATTAGATATTTAATTATTATAAAGATTATTATTAAAAAATGATTTGTAATAAATTTTTCAAATGATAAAGTAAGTATATAAAGGATATAAAGATAAGCTAATTAACTATTAAATGTAAAATAATGTTGAATTATATTGTTTAAAATAACTTATTAATATAAATTTGATAATATTGCTTTTTGCATATTAAGAAAACAAAAATAAAACCTAGTTATCTGAATATAAAAAAATTATTCAGTTTTTATAGTAAAGAATAATTTAACAAAATTAAAAAAAAGATGAAAAAGTAAATAAATAGCTAGTAATTTATTACATAAAAATACACAAAACTCTAATAAAAACTTATTTGAATTTCCAAAAAAACAATTTAGCCATTTAAGAAATCGAAAACTTAAAAAATTTTTTAGATTCAAACATAATTCCTTATTTTAATAATGAATTAGAAATTCTTAAATACACATTTAAATTAAAAGATAAACTTAGATATAAACAAAATGCAATTAATAAAGGTTCGAAGTGCAATAATACTTCATAAAAACAATCTTAATTAAATGATAATTAATAATCAATTAAATCGATAAATTATCTAAATAAAATATAAAGAATAAATACATCATAATCGAATATAGATATTAATTAAGATTATAAAAATTAAAATACAGAGAAAAGAAAATCATTAAAATTTTTGAACAATCTACTTTTAACTTAATATTAAAGCCCATATAATTCTAATAACAGAATTTTAACAACATGTAGAAAAAGTACAGAAGAAAGTGTTGATTTTAATTCTTTAAGAAAGTAAATAAAATTTTTTGAAAAAAGTACCAATAATAATAATAATAATTTATATATTAATGGTTATAATACAAATAATTTTTCAACGAATATATCTTATTCATAAATAAATGGAAATAAATAAAGTAACAGTAATTAATCAAATTATACTATTTAATAAAATTAAATAATAACAAATGGAGGATATTAGAAAATAAAAAGATAAATAAACTTTAAAAATTATAAGTTCATTAATATTAATAAAAAAATAAATCCAGGTAGTTTTGAAAATGATTAATAAATAAAAAAATCTTTTTAGAAATGCTTTTAGGTATAATAGTTAATAAATTAATAAACTTTATAAGACTAAATTATCTAGCTTGCTGTTAAATAATAAGTATCTTAATATAACTTAAGCTAAAATTTTAATATTATTTAAAAACTTCAATATGAAAAAGAAAGAAAAAAATTAGAAGAAAAGCAGCTTAAATAAACATTGTTATAGTAATAGAAAAATGAAGAAGAATAAGAATTGTTAAAATAAAAAATGCTTGTTTAACATATTAATATATAAAAATCGTAAGATAATGATTAACTTAAATACTCAAATGATAAAATCGCAGATATTTTACAAGATAAATACAAAAATTATAAATAATTAAGATTAATAAGTAAAATTTAAAATTAAAACTAATAATATTATATTGAATAGTTGCAATAAAGACAATAACTTTAAAGGTTTTAATTTTATTATTAAAAAAAAAAAAAAACTTAAATTATATAAATATAAAGAAAAAAAAGCAAATCTTCTTTTAGTCAAGAAAAAATTTCAAGAAGCCGTTCATATGATAATGATGATATTAATTTAATAAAAAGAGTTTTTTTTAAAAAAAATAAATAAATATATAAATAATATTTTATTTTTCTATAAAAGAATTCTATTTAAATATAAGTAACAAAATGTAATAAAAAAGCCTCATTTTTTGCATAAAAATATAAAATATATAATTTTTAAGAATTTAAAATAAATGGTGATTCTATTAAAATATAAAACAAATATTTAAATATTTTTTATGCAGTAGTTTATTTGAAATTGTATTTTATATTAAATTTTTAGTCATAAATTTTATATCATAGGTTTATCAGAAAAGTTCGTTAGTAAATTGTTTTCAATAAAAAAAATAATGATCTAAGAAAGCATTTGATGATAGGCTAGTATTTTTCGGAAAATGTAAATACTTAAACTTAAAATCAAAATAATCTTAAAAAACATGAGACATAGAATATAGAAAAGAAAAGTTCTAATGGACGGAACTTAATATTAAGTTATTTAAAAAATAGTATAAATGATTTAGGCGCTTCTTTTTTGGTAAAAATTCAACATCAAGCAAAAAAAAAAAATACAATCAAATTTGTAAAATCGTAAATGTTAAAAAATTCTATGATCTTATAAAATATAAAATATGTGGATTTTCACACAATAAAATCGCTAATAATAATGTTTTTTTAAATAATAAAATTTATCCGCCTTTTCGTTTTCTATTTAATAATAGATATTGGTTTGTTAGATATTAAATTAACAAAAATAATAATACATAAAATTTAATTATAAAAACAGGTTATTAAAGGTAAAAAAATATTTTTTGATTTTATTTTTTAAAATAAAAAAAAGTTTTGTACTAGATATAAGTAGTTTTGTTAAATTTAATTAATTTTAAAATTAAGATTGTTAAACGATTTGGCCTGAATGTATAGATGCCTTTTTACTCTATTTAGAAAATATTAATATACAGATTTCCTTTGATCACATATAGGAAGTTTATGACTAGTATTATTTTAATAATATAACAAATGAATCAGCTTTAAATAATATATTTTTTTGGTAATAAATAATTTATTTATTTTTTAATTTTAATATTATATATATTTTAGTATTAATAACGTTATTAAATTAAATATTTCTTAAAAAGATGCATATTATGTAGGATTATTTTAAATTATTTTAGAAAG